TTTAGTGTCTATATATCTATTAATTTAATCAAATGTAAAATGAAGGAAAACACAGAAAATGAAAATCTGCCCATAAAAAGTAGCTTTAATATGTTTTTGACCAACTGCTTTAACTTAATTAAAAAAAAGGTCCCTTTATAAAGAAAAGTAGCATAATGTAACTTAAGTAATAAAAATGGAAGCAATAGTAAAGCTAAGGTTTACTAATTATTGTATAACCTTATCAAACCACTTGAGTGAATACAAATAACTGAAAATAAAATTATAAAGAACGTTCAAGAGACAAATAAATGATTTGAAGTGTCAAATGGATTTTGCTGTTATACAATAACGGCATTTGCAAGGATTAAGACGGCAGCTAAAACAAGGGCATATTCATTCAAAAACAAAATGGCCTTCCTTAAGTTCTCAAGTCTGCCTGAAGTCCTGTTAACGTTGTCAATTATATGTTGGGCCACTAACCGCGGGTCAGTAATTTGACTCTACCAGTAATTTGACTCTGCATGCGAAAGATGAAGCTTTCTGCTCTGGTAAAGATTTGTTGTTGTTGTTATGTGCTGTGGAGTCGGTTCTAACCCATAGCAACCCTGTACAGGGTTTCCAAGGCTGTAAATCTTTAAAGGAGCAGAAAGCCTCATCTTTCTCCCATGGAACAGCTAGTAGTTTCGAACTGATGACCCTGAGGTTAGCAGCATGATTCGTAACCACTACCTCAAAAACCTTAGGTCGCTATGAGTTGGAACTGACTCCACAGCACATAAACACCACCACCACCAAATTTTGCCTATTAGATTTCCAGTATAGCATATTATCCATGAGTTCCGGTGTGGCACTGTAGGATAAACATTTGATTATGGTGCTGTGGAATAAAGCAGTGGATAGTTTAAGCCAAAAGGTCAGTGGTTCATACACTTATTGGAACCCTATACAGGGTCATTATAAGTCGGAACCAACTTGATGGCACTGAACAACAAGAAGCGAACTGCAAGGTAGGTGTTTCAAACCAACCAGTTGCTCCTTGGAAACTCAGCACAGGGTAGCTATGAGTTGGAATGACTTGAGGACACTTAATAACAACAGTATTATCCGAATTAATTGATTATTTGAATTTTTCAAAAGTTACAGAGCATCTGGTGTAGATTTGGTACACTGAGAACTGAATTTGTGTGGAATGACAATGGGGACAAAATTGGAACCTATTATTGAAGTGCATAAGACTTTAAAAAATATACTCTTAACTGGAATCAATGTTGATTTAACACTCTACTCCTTGGCAAAAGTGAGTTACAATTTATGTCAAAGGAGAAAACCAAACCAAATCCAAACAAAACATGGAGACGTGTGTCTGTGACGGAAAACAGCCTATTTTGCCACAGGTCCAAGTCTGCAGCATTACCAGACACTACATTTGTTGTTGTTAGGTGCCATAGAGTAGGCACTGAATCATAGCAACCCTATGTACAACAAAACGAAACACTGCCCGGTCCTGGGCCAACCTCACAATTATTGCCACGCTTGAGCCCACTGATGCTGCCACTTTGCCAGTCCATCTCGCTGGGGAGTCTTCCTCTTTTTCTCTGACCCTTTACCTTACCAGACATGATATCCTTCTCCAGTGATTGGTCCCTCCTGACAATATGTCTGAGTATGAGAGACATATCCTGGCCTCCAAGGAGCACTCTGGCTGCACTTCTTCCAAC